CGCTGACCTCCGTTTCCACGAAGTAACACTCTTAGTGTTGTAATACATTGAAGCGTGCTACTTCGTGAAAACGAAATTTTACAGTTTCGCGGCTTTTTTGGTTTCACGAACTAGCACTCATCTTTTTTCTCTTATTTCTTGTTGTTTTAATTCACAAACGGGTCAAAAACAGCAAATTTAATAACATCAATACTCTGTAGTTTTGACGCTAAGTGTTGTTCTAGAAGGCGTTCAACTTTAGATGCCGTTTTCTCCGATTGCTAATTTTTACCGGTATGTACATGAGTGTTACTTCGTGGTGTCGGTGACGATATATAATGCAATCCAAGTAAATTGTTCTCATCCCAAAAAGATAATAAATGTGACACAAATCTCTAAAATCATCCATTGAAACATTTCATTATTTTCTTAAATAATTCAACGGTAATTTAAAGCAGTTTTTACATTCTACGTTTTCCTTTTCATGAACAATGTCTTTATACACATTTTATCAGATAAGCTGACATTTATTTGGAGAATTTTAGCAACGCGCACCACCATTTTGAAACGAAAAATAAATACGAGGGGAATATGGAGCAAACTTCGAGGTGACTCTCCAGCTTGAAAATGCATATTGAATTTTGTTGGATACATAATAACTACTGGTAAAAATGTTACTTTTACGGACATAAAAATGCAAGTTTGTGCACAAACCTACGGGAATGTAGGTGCGCGTAACGCACGTTTAGCCTCACGCAATATACTGCGCGTAGAGCGTCCATGCGGGAACGGGAAAAGTTGTGAACACTCTATGGCGCGTATGCACGCGCTGCCGATCTGGTCTTTTTTATTCTATATCTATGGCATGCATTTGCACACAAATACCGCGCCGTGGATATTATACAAATTGACTGGCTCAGCGTGGAATGGGAGGAATATTATCGCAAGGTAAAATCTGGACTTTTCCATTTCACGAGGCGAAGCCGAGTGAACTGGAAAAGTTCAGATTTTACCGAGCGATAATATTCCTCCCATTTCACAATTTAAAGCCACTCAATAGTTGTTTTATATAACTGACATATAGATCCTTGTCATTTGATATATTTGAACTTTTATTTCAATACAAAACTGGAGGAAAATGTATTTCTCTCTTCCAAACCACCCCTTCACGAAAATGTTTGAACCCAACGCTGTAGCGCTGGCTCTTTGGAACAATACGCGCTACGCGCAACGCTGAACGCGCACACCAGCATGCATTTGCACACAAATACTGCGTCATGATCCTAACTGTTGAATAGTATACAAATATTGAATGCTTTGAGTGGTGTAGTAAAACTAGCCTCCCGAGGTGATCCATGGACATTCTATTTTCCCGAGGCGAAGCCGAGGGAAAATAGAATGGTCCATGGATCACCGAGGGAGGCTAGTTTTACTTCACCACGAGATAAAGCATTCAATATTTGTTTTATAACACTTCACCAACGGATTCTGCTTGATTTTAATATTTTACATTATTTAAATCTGAACACAGTTGAAATAAACTTAAATTTCAATACAAAATTGGTGGAAAATGTATTTCTCTCTTAAAAACTAACCCTTCACGAAATGTTTGAACCCAAGTCTGCGGCGCACTCTCTTTGGAATAATACGCGCTACGCACAACGCGTAACGCGCGCACCAGCATGCATTTGCACACAAATACCGCGCCGTGGAAAAAGTACTTTGGTTGCTAATGGTATAGTACTTTGGTTGCTATGCGCATAGTACTTTTGGCCGTGCACAGAGAGATAGCAAAATTAGAAAGTAACATGTGACTCGCTCTCGGCCAATCAAGACACAGAATCTGTGGGTGAGGTGTTATAATATTTTTTATATAACTGACATACAGATCCTAGTCATTTGATTGGTGGAACTCACATCACGTGACATTCGTTATTGCTCCCATTCACACCGCGGCTCAAAAAGTACTATCCGCCCATGGCGAATGGAAAATACTATTCAACAGTTAGGATCATGACGCGGTATTTGTGTGCAAATGCATGCTGGTGTGCACGTTCAGCGTTGCGCGTAGCGCGTATTGTTCCAAAGAGCCAGCGCTAAAGCGTTGAGTTCAATCATTTTCGTGAAGGGGTATTTGGAAGAGAGAAATACATTTTCCCTCAGTTTTCTATTGAAAAAAAGTTCAAATATATCAAATGACAAGGATCTATAAAACAAATTATATTATATAAAACAAATATTGAGTGGCTTTAAATTGTGAAATGGGAGGAATATTATCGCTCGGTAAAATCTGGACTTTTCCAGTTCACTGGCTAATTAATTATGCATATGTACGAATGGTAATTCTGCTCTGTGTACACGACTTATATAGAAAAATTCAGTTTTCACGGCGCGTAGGGATTAATTAATGATTGATGCAAATTATGTATATTCAGGGTCCAAATTAACGAGGGCATCCACCCACATCTTGTTTGTTAAGGTTCAAAGAATTGATCTAGCATGGATGCCTGCTATTACCAAGAAATGCCGTAAAATTATTATTTAGAGAAATTTCCACCTTTGGCTGGCCTACTACCAGGTTTTATAGAAACTGTGCCCGACAGTTGTTGTATCATAAGAAGACTGCTTCCGAATTGACCAATCAAACACTTAGTCCAGATTTCGGAATGAAATAACGTCACGATTTAGTAAAGTCGACTCCGATTGGTATACGGATAGGCCTACGTGCAATTTTTCCCGTTTGCTGAACCTCTCAAATGACATTTCTCGGTTCCCTTATTGGGCTCACTCATCTGACCTCTGGACTTTAGTCGGTGCACGCATCCGTATTCGATTCAGTAACTATAGGATAGCCCTACAAACACGGCTGTAAAAGGCTCTCTTTTGAAATTGGCCTTATTATTGCCTCCATTTTAGCTAGCTCTGCACAGGGTACCTGAATACACAAAGGGTCGCTCCACGAGTCATGTCTGATAGATTTGATTCCAAATATCTCTCGAAATGCATATCGCTCAACACTTTCATACACACCATCGTATTCCTGAGAGTAGAGTCATTTTTAAATATACATAAAGCTTACAACGATCGTAAATTTGTCTATGTAACTTGTCTTGAAAAGTTGACAATATTTCAGAAACTGTCAGATTCGTTTTCGTCTGGGAACCAGACTGGTCTCTGTATGTACGTATGCGCATGCACGAACGAACCCGCTCGACGTCAGCATGCATATATGCTACTATACTTAGTGTGGTTAGACCGATTTTTAATCTGCTCTCTTCGCAACATCCAATATTGTTGTTTCGGTTTCAACGGTGACAAAAGCTGGGTGAGTTTTGAAATGTTTTTCTTTTTTGGCAGATTTTATCGAATTGGTAATATTAAACAGCGCGTCACTGGATGGAGTAATAAAGAATGTTAATTCAGAGAAATATTCGGGGGTGAGTGTATAGGACTTCCCTTCCAATTTCACAACTTGTTCATTCAATCAGACACAATGTTTATTTCATTTCATTAGGTTTCAGAGAGTCGGGAACAAATACGGTTTCTAATGTGCAGTTAGGCCATCCGATTTCGGTTGAATTTTTTTCAGATATGTAGTGTGTTGCAATTTTTTTTTCCGAGCAAGAAAATCCCAATCGTTTGTTGGTTTTTGATTTGTTCGATTTGTAACCAATTTTAAGCATTTATTTTCAAGAAAATGCAATGGGAATTGGAGTCAACTTTTTAGCATTAACCTTTCGCTAAATGTCATTCGTATTGGCGAAAAGAAATTCAGTTTCATTGAAAGAAATTGATTCGATTTTCATGTAATTATTATTCAGGGGACATTTCCACAAAGTGATCATATTAATTCACAAAGCGGTCACTGTGTCTGCATATCAAAATCTGTATTGTTTATCACTTTGACCCTTAACATTTTCCAAAAAGTACTGCATGTATTTTCATATTTTCTTCTCAAACATTGGTATTTTTGCTCTGAAATAACTACACATTCCTTTAGAAAACTACAAACTCTACTCTCTTTCAAATGCAGCTGCCCAATTTCATTGTTTTTTTATTTGACAAATGTTCGAATAAAATTAGGTGCATATTTAAAATGAAAGTATAGGCCCCCAGAACAAAGGTATATACTGTATTATGTTAGTATTTTATTTTGTAATATACTGTATTATATTAGGTATTTTAGTATAAAAACATAAATGGCACGTCTCACATTGTTCCTACACGGTTCCATCATCAGTTGTGTGGGGAAAGGCTACACGTTGACTCAAAAAAGCGGAACCCAAACCCCCAAAATTATGGTTCATATTTAAAAAAAAATATGTAGCACCAAACATAATAATGACTGTAAAGCCAATTTCATAAGCTACTTTTACATGAAAAAAATTACTGAAATTTCTCAATCCGTTCAAAGACTATCACGATTGAAACACTATGACCCTAAAACCTCTTTCGTCCAAAAATGCGATTTCAAGAATCGTCGTCACAATTGTCTTCAAACATCACCAGCGATAAAACCTCAGTTTAAAAGTTGAAACTATTCAACAAAGTTCCTTTGAAGGCCCATCTTTTAAAAAGTGGATTTTATAAATCATATTGATTGCCTAAGCAGGGTTGTTAATAAAGATATTGTGTACTACAGTTGTTGACAGTTGTTGAAACAAGCATCCTGTGTCTTTTTTTTGGTTTTGTCCCTAAACACCCAAAATACACACTAAACTACTTTTGTTTTGGACGAAACAGGCTGCGTTTAAATGGTGATATTCTTTGAACGGATTGAGCAATTTTTCAGTAATTTTTTTTTATCTAAAAGTAGCTTATGAAATTGGCTATCCAGTCATTATTATGTTTGGTGCTACATGTTTTTCCTAAATATGAAATATATTTTGGGGTGTTTCGGTTCCGCTTTTTTTTTGACTCACTCTGTATTATCAATCTTTCTGAAATCTATCATTGACTTGAAGCTGGGTTGTTACTTGTTTCATATAATTAACTAAGTACATATAATCGTGTCATACCCCCCCAAATTTGCCATTATTTTAATTTGTGTATGACTAAAGCAAGTCTATTGTTTTCAAGGTGGTTATGCTGCCTCATCAAATTCCTTCTTCTTGTACCCTCTGTGGTGTTGCCCTGTGTCAGGCATGGTTCACATGTATTATGTAAGACAATGTGGGGGGCAACAGCCTGGCCTGGAGTGATGGGTTGTTTGTGCGCGGGTGCGGCATTCCTTTCCTTGCTCTGGTGTAGAGTACATCACTCTCCTTGCTCTGGACTGGAATCACCGCTGTTACACTTTCATTATTTTGTAAACCCATCATTTTCCTGGCACAGGTAAGTTTTCCAAATTTGTCTTCATTTAAGTATATATTTATCACTAGTATAAGTTCATTAGTGAACTGTTAATTGTGTTGAGTATTTTTAGGGAATATTTACTTTTCATTCTCTTTCATTCATATTTCCATGCTTGATGAGTCGATAGTTATTTTCTACTATGAAACTTATTTGAACGAGTTCTTTCCTTTGTACATATTGATTGCGTCTGATTCCAATTCATGCTGTCGTTACAATATTCTGCTCTATATTTGAATGGATCTTTATGACTTCTGTTTTGAAAGTTATCTTGAGTGGATCACCTCCATTGGTCCATGGATTCAGTTTATTTCGTGAAAGATATTGTATGATCTGATTCATTTATATTTCATTTGGACTGTTTGGAGTTTCTGATAATTAGAAAGATTGAAGTTGATGTAGATATATGTTCAACCTATGGCTTTTAACTTTTCAAGTTGATGCTGATTTATGATTTCACATCATAGGGTTGCTTGAACATTTTGAAACTTACTTGAACTTTTCTTGCTTATTGATTGCTGAATAGTTATTTTATTTTTTAGATTAGTTGAGTATTTCCTTTTGATTAGATCAGATATAACTTGAAGTTTAATAGATGTCTGAGACTTGTATGAATCGTGCCAATTCTGAGTTATGTCAATTCATTCATTGTAGGAATTGGGTTTGTTTAATTGCTTTAGATTTGAGTTCTTAGTTTGCTCCTTTAACTATAAGTGTATTTAGCCTATGATTTAGCTTAACACATTTTTGTACTATCACAGTCACTAGTCAGTTCTGCCACTTTAAGCTAGCTTGACCACGTGTGGGTCCAGCCGCTCTGTTATCTGAGACATTCTAGCACTGATCTTATCTTGTAAATCTTGTGTGCAAGACTCTGTCCAGGGTCCAGACCAGGCCAGAGTGTGTGAAAGTTTTGGTTGACCTTGGGTACACTGTAGATTGCTCATTTCGTATGCACGAGATTTTACTGTTGTTTTATCATCATCCACCTGTTGTAGGCTAGTCGCACTGTGCTCGTTGTTTATCTTTACTTTAGAACTGGCCTTAGGCTTGTGTTTTGGTTATCTCAGTGTGAGCCCAGATTAATGATCTGTGGGAATAGTTTCAGTGTTTTGGTTTTAAGAAGGATTTTATGGATCTTCTTCTGATGACCCTAGTTATTTTTTAGGTTTAGTTTTTGATATATTTTTAGTTGATATTCTTTTGGTTATTTTTTATAGACTTGTTTAAAATAATTTAGTTAATTATGATTCCTTTCCTTGCTCTGGTGTAGAGTACATCACTCTCCTTGCTCTGGACTGGAATCACCGCTGTTACACTTTCATTATTTTGTAAACCCATCATTTTCCTGGCACAGGTTCTCCTGCCGTTTGTCATTTTGGACGAGGACGAGACCTAGCTGTGCATTACTACTACTTCTACCACTTCGGGAGCTGAGTGACGATTTTCTGTTCCGCTTTCCTCCATATCACCTTTTCATCTCATCACACCCCTGGCCGTCCCCTGACGAGTTGCGTCCTTCCGGAAGTTGCAGTCGCTAGTTTCCCGCCTGTTGCAGTCCTTTGACGTCCCCGGATCTCCCCTTCTTCTCTGATGTTTTAATTCTCGTTCCGTGAACTTTGTTCTTTTCGTGAACTTTGTACTCGCGCGTTCGTGGACGTGACTGGATTCGAATCGTTGGTCGTCGCTGGATCTGGACAAGACCATGGGAGACGCAACTGCGAACAGCTTATCCTTTTCTTGCATTGTATAAATTGTTGTAATCTGTGCATTTTCATTTGTTGTTTACATTATCTACTTTCTTTGCTTTTATTTTGTTTTGACTTCAAGTTGAAGAGTGTTTGAGTGATTTGAATTAAAAGCCCTTTTTAATTCGAACTGTAAATACACCTATTTCTGTACATTTTTATTTCTTTGATTATTTTGTCGACTGAACCGGTTGGATTTATATCATTGGGGTTTTCCTAACTGGAATAGACCCCGCGACAAAATTGGAGGCACCACCCGGATTTAGGTTATATTGCTAATCAAATTTATTAGCAACCACAGTTCACAATTGCTCATACACTCTATTTTTTGCCGTTGTATTACATTTTGTTTTGTATTGAGTTTGTAAGAATAGTTCTATTTTCTTTTGGCTGTAATTTTGTTGAACCATGTCTGACACAGAATTTAAAGATGCTTTAGAGGATTTCTTAAAAGCCCATGGTAAGACAACGGAAGATTTGCCAAGTACTCCGTCTAAACCCACTACATCAGACCAGCCTGTGCCCAAAGCGGTGGGAGAAGCGGTGGTGAAGCATGTTGTATCTTCATCATCGACACACCGGCGGCGGCTTCGACTGTTTTCTGGCAAAACCCCAGTACCATCAGGCGAGTTCGACTATGAAAGCTGGAAGAGGCCAGCACGCCAGCTGGTCGAGGACTCGAACATCTCTTCGTCAGAGAAGCTCAGCAGGGTAATCGAGTCACTTCTCCCACCGGCGAGCAACATCGTGTGGGCACTGGGGAAGGAGGCCACAGCCGAAGAATGCTTGGACGGGCTCGAGAAAGCCTATGGTGTAACCGCTGACGGCGACGAACTGTACTTGCGATTTAGCGAATGCTTCCAGCGACCAGTAGAGGCAGCTTCCGAGTACCTCGTACGACTGCAGGAGCTGTTGACTCGGGTGCAGGATACTGGTGGCGTAAACCCCGACCGGGTCGACAATGTCCGCATTCAGCAATTCACCAGGGGCTGCCTTTACCATGAACCACTGCTGATGAAGCTTGACCTGAAGAAGCGCCCAACTCCTCCCAATTTCGTTTCTCTTCTGCAAGAGGTACGGCTTGAGGAGCAGAGAGAACGAGAGAAGGAGGAAAGAAGGGTTGGAGAGCAGAAGGTGGCTACAAAGCGAGTAGCTGTTGCAGCGGAGGCCTCGCCCATCCCGATGGATGATGTGAAGCAGCTTCAAGAAGCTGTAGCTCTTCTTCAGCAGCAGTTGGCTGCAGTTCAGACCGCGGATCATCACCACGGGATCCCTGCCAACCCGGGCCAACAGAAGTCTAGCTGGTCACGCCCGCATCCACACAACCGTCAAGTGCAGAAGCCAAGAGCCAGACATCCACTGATCTGCTTCAATTGTGGACAGCAGGGGCATCGTCTGACGGAGTGCGCAAATGAAACCAACGCACCACTAGTTCAACAGCAGATGGCCTCGAGGTGTAAGCCTGCTTCCACTTCGGGAAACGAAGGTGGCCGCCAGTAGCGGGACGACCTGCGGCCAAGAGTATACCAAGTCCCATAAGGCGAGAAGAATCCAAGAAGTCAACCCTCTGCCTCAGCATGAGCAGTAGCCCCCTCCAAGGGCTACCGAGGAAACTGGTGGGCAACCCAGCCATTCTTACTGCTGAGATAGAGGGTACTCAAGTCCCATGCCTTATGGATACTGGGTCCCAGGTAACGTGCATCGCTGAGTCCTTTTACAGGACTCATCTTCTTCATCATCCGCTACAGCCCATCACCAATCTTCTTGTGGTGGGAGCAAGTGGACGATCGGTGCCTTACCTGGGGTACATAGAGGTGAAAGTGCGATTCACAAAAGAGACGGCTGGAGTTGACATGGAGACCACGACGTTGGCACTGGTCACCCCCGGCCGAGATGGCAGCAACCGAGCACCTCTCCTTCTAGGCACGAACACTAATATTGTTGGGAGGCTGTTAGAAAGCTGCAAACAAGAGGCTGGCCCAAACTTCCTCCAGAAGTTACAGGTAACCAGTGCTTGGGTGGCAGCCTACCTCCAGATTGAAGCTTCCACCATGACGACTAGGCCAGACGGCAAAGTATCAGATGTGCGGCTTCTCAGCGGTCCTGTGTCGATTGAGAAGGGCAACCACATAGAGCTGCAAGGCTTGATTGAGAATTCATTCCCGGCGGAGGCAGTTATTATGGTTGAGTCCGATGAAGGATGTTTTTCTCCTGGTGGTCTGGTCGTCCAACGGACAGTAGACGTCTTTTCCCCAAATTCTGGAGGCAAGGTGGCAGTGATGGTGAGGAATGAGTCTGAGCATGATATCATTCTCCCAGAAGGTATCACCATCGCCCATGCCTATGCTGTGGAGGTGCTTCAGTCTCTACACCCAGATAGATTAGATGGAAAAGTCACATCCCCTAGACATCAGGCCAGCTGCGCGAATATTGAGGTCCCAGAGGAGCAACCACTTGACTTTGACTTCAAGGGTTCGCCAATTCCAGAAGAGACAAAAGAACGGGTCACCCAGCTCTTACGGGAGAGGTCGCAGGTGTTCTCCAGAGGGGATTTGGACATTGGCTGCACTTCAGCAGTCAAACACCAGATCCACCTCTCTGACGACTCCCCCTTCCGTGTGAGGTCACGGAACATCGCCCCTGCAGACTACTTAGACGTGAGAAGACATCTGAGGGAGCTGATGGACCGTGACATCATCCGCCCTTCCGAAAGTCAGTTTGCTTCACCCATTGTGGTCGTCCGGAAGAAGAATGGCGATGTGAGGTTATGCATCGATTACCGCAAGTTGAACTCGAGGACCATCAGGGACCAATACACCATACCTAGGATCGAGGAGACCCTCCACGCTCTAAATGGTGCCCAGTGGTTCACGTGCCTGGATCTCAAGTCCGGGTATTACCAGATAGAGCTGGAGGAGGTCGACAAGGCCAAGACCGCCTTCTGGTGTCCCCTGGGGTTCTTCGAGTTCAACCGGATGCCACAGGGCATCACAAACGCCCCAGCGACCTTCCAGAGGCTTATGGAGAAGTGTGTGGGGGATCTCAACCTGATGGATGTCATGGTGTACTTGGATGATCTCCTCATCTTCTCCAAAACTCTGGAAGAGCATGAGCAGAGGTTGATGGAGATTCTGAGCCGTTTGCAGGAGTTTGGTCTCAAACTGAACCACGCAAAATGCCAGTTTTTCCAAACCTCTGTCAAATGCCTAGGCCACGTGGTGTCCAGGGAGGGAGTCAGCACCGATCCAGACAAGATCCAGGCAGTGAAGTCCTGGCCCACGCCGACAAATGCCCGGGAGTTGAAGTCCTTTTTAGGGTTTACGGGCTATTACAGGAGGTTTGTGGCGAATTACTCCTCCATTGCCCGACCCCTAAATCAACTGACCGCCGGATGTGACCTTACTAAGAAGAGATTCAAAAAGGGGAGGAAGCAGAAGGTCAACTACAGAAGTGCCACCGAACCCTTTGGGGTACTCTGGACGCCACATTGCCAGGATGCCTTTGATGCCCTGATTGAGAAGCTGACAACCGCTCCGGTCCTAGGGTTCGTGGACTACAACTCCCCCTTTCTGCTTCACACAGATGCAAGCATCACCGGCCTTGGGGCAGCGCTCTATCAGGAACAGGAAGGAAGGTTGAAGGTCATCGCCTACGCCAGCAGAGGTCTGTCAAGAAGCAAGGCCAACTACCCTGCCCACAAGCTTGAGTTCTTGGCGCTAAAGTGGTCGGTGACTGAGAAGTTCCATGATTATCTGTATGGAGGTAACTTCAAAGTTCTAACGGATAATAATCCGCTGACCTACATCCTGACGTCTGCCAAACTCGATGCTACTGGGCAGCGGTGGTTGGCTGCCCTTGCCAACTACAACTTCAGCATTCAGTACCGGCCGGGTTCGAAGAACGGAGATGCCGATGGCCTGTCTAGACGTCCGCAAGATGTTCAGCCCCAAGACGAAGCGTCCATTGACCACGACAAGCAGATCCAGCAATTACGTGATAGGGTCCTAGGTGTTGATGTTGTGTTGGATGAGCCGATCGTGTCAACTATTTGTCAACAGGTAGTCGAGGTACTAGGGGATGACCACACTCCTACCTGCGCCCTGTTGGAGACTATCACGGATAGTACAAGTGCTGTACCTGATGATTTTTCCAGTGTCGAGCAACCAGACCATGACTCCATTTCTGGTCTGACCACCAGTGATTGGGTTGGTTTGCAGAAGGGTGACACGGAAATAAGGTTCATGGTCAATTGCCTCAAGAGAGGAGCACAGCCATCAGCGGAGGAACGGTCCACATTGTCAGACGGGATCAAGATCTACTTGCGACAGTGGAAGCATCTGGTTCTGAAGGATGGGGTACTTTACCGCGAGAGTGCCAGTCCAGGAGAGTTGCCAAGACAACAACTGGTTTTACCCAAAAGCCAGCGTTACATCGCTTTTGATGGGGTACATGACCAGATTGGACACCTGGGCTATGAGAGGACCCTGGACCTAGCCCGAGCCCGCTTCTATTGGCCCCGAATGGCTGAAGACATCGAGAAGTTATGTCAGATGTGCCCCCGATGTCTTCGTCGAAAGCAGAAAGTGACGAGAAGAGCACCATTGGTCTCCATCACCACTACCCACCCCATGGAACTGGTGTGCATGGACTTTCTTTCCCTGGAGCCTGACAGCAAGAATACCACCAACATCCTAGTGATCACCGACCATTTTACTCGATACTCACAGGCGTACCCAACTAAGGATCAGAAAGCGAAGACAGTGGCAAAGGTGTTGTGGGAAGAGTTTTTCATTCACTACGGGTTCCCCGAGCGCCTCCATTCGGATCAGGGTCGAGACTTCGAGGCTGGCTTGATTAAGGAGCTATGCCAATTGGCTGGCATTAGGAAGTCCCGGACTACGCCTTACCATCCCCAGGGGAACGGGCAAGTTGAGAGATTTAATCAGACTCTCATCAGCATGCTCGGGACTCTGGATGCTGAGAAGAAGAAGAATTGGCGACTCCATGTACGCCCCCTGGTCCATGCTTATAACTGCACCAAAAACAACGCCACAGGAATGTCACCCTACTCACTGATGTTTGGTCGTGAACCCCGTCTACCCATCGACTTGCAGTTCGGCATCAACAACCCACCTAAGAAGGCAGTCTCGCATCACAAATACATCCAAGACCTGAAGGATCGCCTGAGACGTGCTCATGAAGTGGCTGCTGCACAAGCTGCCAAAGCTGCGAGCTACAATAAGGAGCGCTATGACAGGAGGGTCCGTGACCAAGCCCTGGAAGTCGGCGACCGAGTTCTAGTGAGGAATGTAGGCCTCACTGGTAAGCACAAGTTGGCTGATCGCTGGACAACCACTTCCTACCATGTCATCAGGAGGATCGCCGATGACATGCCTGTGTATGTGGTGCGACCAGAGGATGGTGGACCAGACAGAACTCTGCATCGTAACATGCTGTTACCTTGTGGGCATCTTCCCGATGCCCAACCCGAGATACAGCTCACTCCACCTGGTCCTCCTCCGAGGGTTTCACCACGCAGACCCCCTAGACGGAAGGATGCTCCCCTCGCAGCTAGAGCTAATGATGTGCCTCTCTTCAAGGACAGTGAGTCTGAGTCATCAGTGCCCACGGTGACAATTGAGCACAGGACTCGCCCGATACCAGCTCCGAGGAATGGACGCGTTAGTGCCAGCGACGGGGGATCAACAAGTGGACAGTTAGATCCGAAAGCCGCAGTGTTCACCCCTGCAGAACCAGTCACGGATCCGGCACTGTCTGAACCTCAGCAGGAAGACCCCCCAGAGAGTTCTGCGTCCGAGCCCCTCCCCGTCGTTGCTGCTGAAGATCAGGCTGAACCAGTTCCCAGCCCTGTCTCCTCAGCAGAAGCCTCTTCCGAGCCTGACTCTCTATCTTCAGAAGAATCAATGACTGAGGACTCTCCTGCTACCCCTGAGCGAAGAGGTCGATGGCCAGTCCGTCGCAGACAGCCACCGAACCGCTTTGGGTATGGTAGAGTTGGTAGATCGAGTACCAAGCTGATGGAAGAACAAATGGCTGTCCAAAAGCAGTTTCTTACCATGGTTCAGTCTTGCTTTTTGCATATATAATTTCCTATGTGTTGACACATTGAAATGTCATGTCGGGACGACATGATTTAAAAAGGGGAGAGTGTCATACCCCCCCAAATTTGCCATTATTTTAATTTGTGTATGACTAAAGCAAGTCTATTGTTTTCAAGGTGGTTATGCTGCCTCATCAAATTCCTTCTTCTTGTACCCTCTGTGGTGTTGCCCTGTGTCAGGCATGGTTCACATGTATTATGTAAGACAATGTGGGGGGCAACAGCCTGGCCTGGAGTGATGGGTTGTTTGTGCGCGGGTGCGGCATTCCTTTCCTTGCTCTGGTGTAGAGTACATCACTCTCCTTGCTCTGGACTGGAATCACCGCTGTTACACTTTCATTATTTTGTAAACCCATCATTTTCCTGGCACAGGTAAGTTTTCCAAATTTGTCTTCATTT